AATTACAGCTCCATGTTTCAGAAGATACCTTGAAATTCTTTGGAAGAGGAAGATGACTGACATAAATGTATCCAAACAGGAAAGGAAGGATGTTATTCTTGGTATTGTTCAGGGTGTTATTTTTTTCTTTGGAATAGAGTTGAATCAGTAACAGGAATTACAAACGGGTAAGTTTGGGAGGGAGTGCAGTGATCAGACCTGACAGTGCTTGCTTGAAGAATCAAACCCCTTGCTGACACCCGGTCTGTGTCAGTGAGGTGCATGTTAAAACAGCCCAGGAGCTTTCCTGGATGTCAGTGTGGCCAATACTCAGTAAAAGGTAATTTCCTTTTTTGGTTAGAAAACTTAGGAGTTGATTATTATTTTTGTTTTTAGAGAAAACATTGAGTTTGCTGGGTTTCTTTTCCTTTTTTTTTTTTGTTCTGTTTTTTTGTTCTGTTTTGGTTTTCTAACCAAATACTGAGTAAAGTAGTATTAGTATTTCAATCTTGCACTTTGTGCTATGTGGGTAGCAATATTGTCTAATTATAAGACACAGATCACTGACTGATTAAAAGATCAGGTGAGAGGAGCTACTCTATATTGTGAAGGAGAGAAATTTTGCTTCTCTACCTGCATTTAATTTCTGTTTCCTTCATTCTAAGGTTCTTGTCTATCTGTTGTATCCTCTCTAGGTATTAAAAACTCAGCAGTTTCAGGAAATAAAATCAGATGTGATGGTTCATTTCTCATACAGAAGGAAATACCATCTTGTCAACAGAGGGAGGTTGTGGTCAGACCAGGAGGGCAGAATGTCTTTGTCCTCGGCGTCATTTCCTTGGCTGATGACCACGAGGTCACTGTGTCTTTAATTAATATTCTGGGCTTGAGTATATAATTTTTGATAGCAGAAGTACAAGTCTTTCCTTTTGCCAAGTGTTTAATTTTTTGGACAGGAGCATTGCCTTGAAACTACCTAGGAAACTAGATGAGATGAGATGAGATGAGTCCCTCCAGACTGGAGGAGCAGCAGTGTCAGGGAGTGGCTGATCTGAGCAGGTCACTCTGGGCTTTACAGTCAGTGGAAGTTTAGGGTGGGATTCCTCTTTTTCTCATGGAGAGACTGGATTTAGTGAAGTGAATCAGAATGAAAGCTCATGTGGTTTAAGTAGACCTCCTTCACCTACCTGGACAGCTGGTACTTGGTGTGGACAAGTGATATAAATACCAATATTCTGTGATTTGATTGCTGTTCCTTGTAAGAAATAAGGGTTTATTACAGGCGTGCTGTTTTTTTTTTTTGTGGAAATCTGTAGAATCCAGGTCTTTTGTCTCCCAAAATGAAGACAATATATGCCAAAATACGCTTTTGAAGGCACAATCAGAAATTATTAACATTGCACTTCTTTTTTTTAACACGTTTGATTTAGAATCTTTCTTGAGTTGTAAGAATTGAGTCAAGCGGTTGGAGGGGAATGTGCTGGGTTAGAATAAAATTAGTCTGTCAAGTGTAGATACATAATAGACACCATGGTGCTACCTTGGCCACTCTGTCATTAAAATCCCAGAAATAGTCCTGATGAGTTTTATTCTGTTCTTGTAATCAGACTCTGCAGTTGACTGTAGTCTTAAAATACTTGTATGGATTGAATAAGAGGTGCAGAATTAATTAAAGGACTGTGCTCTGATGTACCCAAATGATTTCACCATCTCTGGACATGCCACCTGCTGCTCAAATAATGGGAGGAAAAGTAGCAATGAGTCATATTGGTGAAGTTAGAGATTTTATTGGAAGCTTTAGGTGGGCACTAAGTGCCCTGCTGAAAGGATTAGGTGGGATCTTTCCCACTTGGGGCTTGTTTTACACCCAGGTGTAGGTGTTAGCATGGAATAGAATATTTCTGGAAGGGACCTACAGTGATCATCTAGTCCAGCTGCCTGAGCAATTCAGGGCTTGCCAAAGGGTTGAAGCATGCAGGCCATTGATAAATACATTGATCAGGACTAGCCTTAGGGCTGATCCCTGAGGAACACTGCTGGTGACACTCCCCAGCAGCTGCAACCTCTTTGAGCCCTTCAGCCAGTTCATCACCCAGAGCATTTGAGCTTGCTCATCCCACAGTGGGACAGCTTGTCCAGAACTATGCTGGGAGTGCCAAAAGCCATACTAAAATCCAGAAAAACTACATCTCCTTCATCCCTTGGGCAGTTCACCTTATCATAGATGGATATCAAATTAATTAACCTTGTGTTGATGGTGCCTGGCAGATGTATTCTTCAAAAGACTCTCAGCAGCACCCAGTATAATCCTCTCTGTATTTTTCCCAGGAACTGAGGTCAGACTAACAAGTCTGTTCTGTTTTTGGCTGGGATAGAGTTAATTTTCCCTAGTAGCTGGTGCAGTGCTGTGTTTTGGATTCAGTGTGAGAATAGCATTGATAACACACTGATGTTTTTGGTTGCTCCTCAGGAGTGGTTATTTATTCCAAGTCAAGGATTTTCAATTTCCCAGGCTCTGGTGATGAAGACAGGACTGGAACAATGGCCCTGAACTGGCCAAAGGGATATTCCATACCATGGGACATCATTCCCAGTATAGAAACTGAGGGATAGTATCCAGGAGGAGTCAGTGGTATTTTGGGATGTGCTGGGCATCAGGTCAGTGACTGGTGACTTGTGCATCACTTGTTTTCCCTCTTTTTAATATCTCCCTTCTCATGATATTATATACTATTATTATAATGATATTTGACTTAATTTAAATTATTAAGCTGCTCTTATCTCAACCCACGGGTTTTAACTTTTCCCAGTTCTCCCCATGCCCCTGTGCTGGGAGAGAGGGGCTGTGTGGAGCTGAGTTCCTGGCTGGCATTAAACCACAACACTTTTTGGTGTAAGTTCTTCTGGAATTATTTTCTGCACAAGTCGATGTCTCTTGCAGATAGTTTAATTACCGTGGATTATTTTAGGTATCATATTGATGACATGGGTGAGCAGAAGGAAAGGGAATGGGGTTGTCATGACTACTGTGATTTTTTTTAATTTTTTTTTTAAATTTTTGTACTTCGATTTAAAAATATTTTTATCTCTAAATTTTTAGGGATAAGTAATGTCCTTTGCTGATTGTAAATTACTGGTCATACTTCAGACTCCAATAATTCTAGCAGAAGCAGTTTTGCAAGACATTTTTTCTGGAAATCAGAAAAGGGTGAAGAGAAAGAGCATTCTCTTGGCAACTTGCATAAGGGAAAACTGGGTTAGTTTAATACTAATGTAATAGTTAAGTATAGCTTTCTGTGGTGCTCCCAGAAGGACATTATTTGTTTCCAATCAAGTGGTTTTATATAGAATTTTTCTAGAAATTTTAAAAAATGCTGGTAATTTTTTGCTTGAACTAGTAAATTCCTGCAAGCTTGCAGCTACTCTTACTAACAATAATTTCATTGTTTTATTTAAATCAATATAATTATTTTTCCATGAATAGCTCTTGCAGTGCTCATGCCTTAGTTGTGGTTACGAACGAGTTCTCTTGTGGAACTGATTAAGGCTTTTAATTATTTTATAGCAAAGGGAAAACTGATGCAATTTTAAGGTATTTTCAGTCATTCAAGGGTCAAATTAACTTCTTCATGACTAATTAAGTAAATATTTCTCTAATGCACAAGAGTGGGTGTCTTTTGTGTTTTGGGTGTGTTCATTCCTGACCTTTGCATTACTTGGATCATGACCACAGTAGTGCAGGGACAGAATTCCAGTGCTGTCCAGTGTTGCCAGCATGGATCAAGCAGGGATCCTTCCACAGTGAACAGCTCAGACCTGGCTTTTAAAAAAAAGAGAAGGAATGTTCTTGCATTTTTTAAAACATGCCCGTTTACCAAAAAAAAAAACCAAACCAACAAACCTTTCTTAGTTTATCTCTAAACATACATATTTATGTGGTTATTACCTACACAGTTCCCTCCTGAATTTGATTGATGCCTCTGGCCTCCTTTCTGTGCTTACTCAGCGGCAGCAGTCTCTCTGCTCTGATTCCCAAGCTGGTTTTAGCTCGGGTTGGTGATATAACCAGATCAGTCCAAGCTGAAAATGGGTTCATTTGTCCTGTTTCTCAGCCCTTGCTGAATTTGCCTGGTACATGAGTAGGCTGCCACTTGTCCCCCTGGCTTGCTGAATCTTGCTCTTAGACAGCCTGGCAGTCAGTGTTGGAATTAAACTGCAGAAGAAATTATTTCTCAGTCATCCTTAGGTTGCTGGTATCTCTTCAGTGGGGTGGTTTTTTACATGTACTGGTGGCTGATAATTTCAGGTTTTTAATTTTCTGAAAGACTAAAATGCTGTGGGGTTTTTTTTTGTTTGTTTTGGGTAATGAGAAACAACACTGCTTTTTTTTGGGGTTTTTTTTTTGGTGAAACGTGGTTAATATTATTTACTAATGTAAACTACAGGATGAGGAATCTCTAGAAGTGGATTTTTATGCTGACCATGACATGCAGCTCATTCAGCTGAGGAGCTTGTCTTAAATCCCACACCTGAGCTACTTAAAGGAGCAGATCTGAGCAGAGGCTGTGAATTTGCAGAAAGTGTAAAAGGACTTTAAAGCCTGGTGTTGCTGAAGATATTTCTGTGCAGTGTCTTCCTTTACAGTTGGTTTTTAAGGTGTGTAAAGTCAGAAGCATCAGGTGTGAGAAGTGATGGGCTTGGCTTTCCCAGCACTTGATTCCCATCCTGTGTATCCTGACCACTCTTCCCCAGTGCCCATGGAGGTGACAAATTCCATTTTCCTGGTCACACTGAAAGCAGGAGAGATCGGGAAAAAATCCTGATTCTCCCCCCCCCGCTCCCCCCCAATCCTTGTTTTATTTCTACTTCTCTGACAGGTGTTGCTGTGCAAGTCAAGGATCTTGTAGTTAAACGACTATAATCTTTATTTTAAAGTGAAAATAGGATTTTGGCAGAAGTTGGCAGCACTGGAAAAATGCTCCTACTTGCCCTGAGCAGATAGTTTTATTCCAGGAGAGGCTGGAAAGGAGAAGGATAAATGTGTGTGGGCACTGGCAAGAGGCCACACTCTTCAGGCCATGTTCTGTATCCCTCCCCTCTCCCATTGCCTTGCAGAGTGTATAGGCTCAGCTATATAAAATAATACATTTATTTCAAAATTGTGTTAAATGAGCTCATCTCAGTCACTCAGCAGTTATGAAATCCTGCCAAGTGCTACACGTCTTGTAAATTTAGAGGTTGTTGTTTTTTTTTTTCTTAATTTGCAAAGGATGAAATACTACACAGTTGCTGAGGCAGAGAGGAGGCATCTTCCTTCACCCATAACATTCTGAGGCACGAAGAACGATGCTGAAAGCCAAGGTTTCTGATTTGACCTTCCTCCTTAGAGCTTCTCAACATGAAGATTCCTGATTCACAGGAGCTGTCTGCTCAGGGCAGGCAAAATTATCATTCCCTGCACTCACAGCTGAGGATTTTGATGGGGTTGGTGACCAGCTCTAGCACAGCACAGATTTTTCTCCTTTTCCTTCTCCTTTTCCTTCTCCATTATCACCAGCTTGGAACCAGGAACGGGTGAGACTCTTCTGCTGCTTCCCTCCTAACGAGGTATGAATTCCAGATCAAATGCTAAGAGCTGCTTGTTTCTACGTGAAGAAAAATCAGATTCAACCCCTGGACTTGTTCCAAGCAGGGATATCATTACATTTGACTCTTGTGTTTCTGGCTGTTAAAGCCTGCTGATCTGACACAGCTCGGGATGGAGCTAAAATATATCTGTGTTTCAGAGATGGGAGGCAGAAGGAGCTGTTGGGTAATTTAGTCTGACATTTAGGGTGTTGCAGGTCATTACGTGTAACTCTTACTCCCTGTTTGCAGCTCAGTAGCTTATGTTTGACTGAAAAAAATTGAAAAATTAGCAGGAATCTGCTGAAAATGCTTTTCAGAAGGGCAGGCTGGCTTATTTGGGAGTTACTTAGAAATGAGGTTTTCAACATCGTCTCCCTTAGTAATTTGTTTTATGGGACAAACAGTCTGTGCTTGGTTCTTTTTTTTTTTTTTTTTTTTTTTTTTTGGTGTGTGTGTTTTCTCACAGTTCTAACTTGGATATGCCTAATTCTGCATTTTATGGGAATTTTAAGCTGGCATAAATGGGCAGAATTGCTGAAAGAAGCAGTCAGCATCCCCCAGTGCTCCTACAGCTGTGGGTGAACCCACTGCAAAACCAGCCACAAAAGCAGCAAAATCACATTTCTCCAGGGTCAGTACCAAGATCTAGTTCATGGCACAGCTGCATGAAGGGGAATGAGCAGTCAGGGATGAGAAATGGGTAAATGTGGCTTCAGCTGCAGGTGGTAAAGCCATGGAGTTGCTTTCAGCTGTTGGTTTTTGCCCTCTTCCTGGTGGGAATGATGTTGCTTCTTGGCTTTTTTCTGATATGAATAGTGGTGGTTTGTGTTGTTCTGCAGCCAGAAATGTCTGTGGGTTCATCCTTCTGGTGTTAAACACCAAAACTTCATAACCAGGTGTGCATCAGAATGCTGGAATGAAAAAAAAAAAAACAAACCACAATTATTTGATGTAGCAAAAGCTGTTCAAGTGTTACCTAGATATTAACATTTATTTTGTTGTTGAGTTTTTAGTATCTGTGTTGTTGTAATTGGTAGCTAATACACAGGGGAAAAGGGCTTTGGATTTACTGGAGGGCTTATATGAGGCAAATTAGTCTGAGTGTTAACAGGTTGAATGTGGAAATTCCCAGTATGTGACAACTGTTTTTAGTAAAGATTTTTTCAGAAAATAAACTCTGCTTTAAAGACACAAGTTGATATTTATCTTAAGACCAGATGTTGAACAGTATTTAGTGCTAAACCGGGTGACCATCACACTAAATAATTTTGTTCTCTCAACTGAATGATTATTTCTCTTAGGAGAGTGTTTGCTAAAGAAATCTCTGTGCCAGCTCTCATGCTTTTAATACTTTATAGTGCTTTGTAATAAGAGGAGAGCATCTGTAAAAATCTGACATGGACATCACACTAACATTATATTAGTTTATTGTGCTTCCTTTGTAGTCTGAGGAAGGGTGAGGTTTTCTGAGATAGAGGAAGAAAGAGCTGAAGCTGTAAAGAAAAAAGATCCAAGGACAAGTCAACCCCAGCAGCAGAGGATTGTGCAGTCTGGGCAAGGGAATGTCTCTAACACCACAAAAAACTCTGGAGTTTGTCACTGTGGAGTTATGAACTAGAAATTCAGAATACACCCATCTCCTGCAGCATCACATACTGATGTTGTTCTCCATAGATAGAAAAGGATTTTTTCCAGATACTGCTGAAAGTGTTGACTGATCGTTTTTTTAGTACTGTCAAAATAATTTTTGTTGTTTTCATTTCAGTTTACCAGGAACTCTTACTGTAGTGAAAGTTGTTACATAAAATTGGTCTGTATTTTCTTGCCAAAAGACTCCAGCATTGTTCAAGCAACGGTGCTGAATGGTTGAAGCACAAAGTCACTGTTCAGCACCCTGATTCCATGTATATTCTGGTAGCACAGGGCAAAACTTCCTTCTGTTTAAGACTGAAAAGTATTCCATGTTGAGATGGGTTTGGTTTTGGATAATCTGATTGTGGATTATTTCAGCAAGAGTTCGCTTTCTCAAGTTTTAGCTGGTACAGATCACATTTTAATTCATGGGAACTGATGAACTCAGCTGTACCCCCTTGTTTTGCAGAGGAATCTTCTTTCCCCTTCTGTTTTTGTTTAGGAGCTCCTGACAGCCCAGATCATCAGAGCTGTTGCCTGATGTTAGGTGGAGACCCTTTCCCTTGAGATCTGACCAAGTTTATATTCACAACTCAGAAACATCTTTTAAAATGACCATCTGATTTTGGGCTGCCTTAATTGAAGCTTCTCAAAGTTTCCTGGCCAAGCTTGTCCCAAGGATGTTCTACTGCTGAATCTTGGCAGTGTTGGGTTCATGGTTGGACTTGGAGGTCTTTTTCCAACCTAAATAATTCTGTGATTCCCTTCTTCAGGTGTCCTTGTTGCTACTGACTGAGCCTCCAAACTTTACCTTCTTTATCTCTTTTACTTCCCTCTGTTCTTATATTTCTGATTGGCATCTGATCCTTAGTAATCTTGTCCCAGGCAGTGCCTTGTGTCCTGATTATTCTTTTTACCTCTATTTTGTAAAATCTTTTAGTTGAATCTATGGAAAAACTTGCTTGGCTGAAATTTTTCTGCAACCTGTAGCTTTTATGGGGGAAATTCCCATATTTCTCATTTAAAATTCTTACTTTAGGTTTTTATTGAAGACAGTAAAGGGTGCCTTTTCTGGTTTGTTGTTGGGGTTTTTTTTGTGGGGTTTTTTTGTGTTTATTTTTGGTGGGGGTTTTTTTTCCCCATTTTTTTGTTTTTGTTCTGTTTTTTATTATTTAAATATTTGTTTCAACATTCCTTGTGCAGATGTGTATTACCCTGCTAAAGCTGTAAAGTAGCCAAGCTGTGCTGAACTTCACTGGAGGTGGAATAGTTTAAAGAATGCTTTGTGGTCTGCTTTAGTTGTTCATACTTCAAAATAATTAAGGAGAAAGGTGCCTTTTTATTTACCAAGCATTTGCAAGTAAACTTTAAAAACCCATCACAGCAAATAGTAAATCATTTTCTTTACAACACGGAGCCTTTTATTTGTGAAAGATGGGATCCTTGCCAGCCATGAAGATTGCTCCTGTTTTCTCCTTGTTATGTGTTAAATAGTAAAACATAAAAAATTGTTGACAAGCATTTTTTAAAAAAAAAAGATATCCAAGATTGACACTTTTTTGCTAAAATAGGATTTAACTTTTTTCCAGGTGGAAAATAATGGCTATTAGAAGAGGAGATTAGTAAACAGTGCTGAAATAGAAGTTGTTCGAGGTTTCTTGGTTTGATTTTTTTAAGACAGAATCTTAAATGATTAATTGCTTTTGGAATCTTAATGCAGTGGCTCTGGAGTTTTCCAAAGAGGGCAATGGGACTCACTCTCAGTGCAGCTCCAATCTGCTATTCTATTTATGACTTATTACCTGTATATGTATATATATATATATATATATATAAACTATGTATATAATATTTGAAACATTGAATAAAAATGAAGTTTTGTACTTGGTTTAAGCTGTCTGGGTGCCTTCTGCAGATCTAAAAGTACAGTTATCATGGAAACATCAATTTTCTGGTTGGGTAAAAAAGGTGGTTGTGGTTGTGTATCACTTCTACGCATAGGAAGTTCTGAAGAATTAAAAAAAAAAAAAATTACAACTAGAGAAACCAAAAACTTAAACTTATGGTCATCTATTCATTACACTGTGGTTAAAGCAAAGAACTTGACACTAAGAATTCATGGCTAAAATGTGCCTGACATGAACCAAACAGGAAATTCGGCAGAGAAGGGGAAATAAGAACTTGGATCTTGATAATGAAGATTTTGGCAAGCTGACCTTTTGTGCCTTTTTGAAAATTCCAGTGTGGGATTCGTCATGACTGGTGTTTAAATTTCTCGTGTCTCTTCTGACCACGGTGGGGGGAAAAGTTCCTTATTGTGCTGTGTTTGCCATCAGGTGCAAGTCTCTGGTAGGAGGGAGATGGAGTATCTGAGAATATCTGAGGGTATTTTTGGGAAACAGCTTTTTAGGGGATGGGATAGAGACTGGTCAGAAAGGAGCCTTTGACAGGAATGGAGACTGAGGAGGGGAAAACCAGCAGTCTTTGGAAATGTTCAAACAGGGAAAGAAAGACTTGTTTCAGGGATGCATAGGGATTTGTGAAATTAGGTTGTTAATGGATTGAGAACAAGTCTGGAAAAAAAAAAAAAGCAAGCACAGTAGACCAGGGGAGTTAGTTAAAAGTCTTCTATTCATCTTGCTTTTAGTTTTACTATTCACAAGCCCCATGTTTTATGTATTTTACTAATAAGACGGAGCTCTGGAGTTTACAGTGCTTTTAGTGTTTAATGATGCTCGTTGTGGAGGAGGGAGCAGAGCTCCTCCATCACTCAGTGATGCAGGGTCCCAAAGCAGGAGTAGTACAGGCAAAATGTGAGCCTTGAGGCAGCCCTAGGAGGCTGGAAATGAACAAAAACCTGTGTCCTCTGAAGGCTGAGACAGAGGGTTTTATTTGTATTTTGAAGAGTCAGTAGCACTCTTGCACACAAGTCTGGGAAAGAATTGCAGTGTGACATCCCTCTCTTCCAAGGGTTGGTCAGAAACTCAGCTGGTGGAGCTCCAGGTGTGTGTGCAGCACCTGAGGTGGATGAATGTAACAGAAAACAAGAGAAATCCAAGTCTTTAATTGAATTCATCCCATGGATCCCAGGCATAACCTTTATATGAAGATGAGAGGGAGTATAAGAGCCCAAGAATCCAGTCAGGTCGCTGGACAGGCAGAGATTAAACTGAGATTAAGAAGCTTGAGCAGAGATAAACCACTGCACAGGTGGGACCACTCACAGAAACAGAATGTCTGCAGAATATGTGTTAAAATGAGCATATTTAAATAAATACTTCGCATAGAGGTTTCCAAAATATATATTAAAAAAGGAAAAAAAGTTAGCAAGAGCTCTCTTAGACTGTTTAGTTATTTACCTAGTCTGAGATGAGGATAGGGAAAAGATGCAGTAGTTTTGTCACCTCCTGTAGGTGAAGACTTCAGAAATCAGCTTGCTGGGGCCTGCCTTTAGAAAGGTACAGGATTTAAGTCAAGTTAGAAGAAGACTTGCAGCACAACTTTTGACTTAGTCTCAGGGTGATACTGCTCTGAGAATAAGGCAGATGAAAATGCCAGGCATTGAGAACTGGATGCTTTGGTTTTCAGAACATCTCAGTGGGTTGAAAGGACAAACACTGGGAAATTGGTCAAGCACCAGATTTGGTCTGAGTGAACACTGTGGATAAAGTTCACCTGTCTGCCTTGTGAGAAAAAAACCAAAATGGGATCATGAGTGCAGAGTGAGGATGTGCTTGAGTGTAGTGTTCAGATGCCTGAGGCAGGGATGAAAAATCCACCTTTCCTCAGAGGAAAGAACCATCTGTGATAAAAGGGTCATTTTGAGGCTTTGGAACTTGGTTTGTCTGAGACCCTTGAGGGAACTTGAGGTTTTCTCCAGGTTTTCTCCTGCATTAGCAGGACATGCAGGAGGTTATGGCTGTAATTAGCAAGAGGAGAACAAAGATAATGCTCTGGATTTTCCACAGTGTTTTAAAATGCCACTTCTGCAGGGAAAAATGCCCAAAAGATGCTTAACAAACCCGACCTGATGGGCTGAAAAGGAGGCATATTTCCCCTCCCAAAGTATGGAGGTGGATGGCAAGTGTGCCCTGGGCTGGTAGGATGAGGGAATTGGCAAAACTCGTGTTCATCCTGAATTGAATACAGAGAAGATTAAACAGGTCTCACTTCTGGAACTGCTGGGAATAAGGGAAAGAAAATGCCTGGCTTTGTCACGTCATTTTTCAGAAACCTTGATCATAAATTGGAAAATTAGGTGACTGAAAGGGATGTGGAAAGGGAAGCAAGAAAGGAAGAACTCTGGAACCGACAAGGATTTGCTTTGTCCTTGGTTGGGATTCAGTGACAAAGAAAATGGTTTCAGATTCTAATTTTTAATCAAGCATGTTACTGAAGAAGGCAAGAAAGAAAGAAGGACCTGCCCTGGAAGGGCAAAGTGAGCAATGAGGAAACAGTTTCATTTCTCTTACTTCACTGTATTTTTTTTCTGTGCAATAAATGTATGTTTAATCTAGTTGGTTGCAGTAAAACTCAGCTCTGGAATTCACAAACATGCTCTTGTGTCTTTTGGGTGTCTCATCATGGAAGGATGGAAGCAAATCCACCTCTTACTCTTGAGATGCTGCCAGGCAATTTGTGATACCAAAAATCCAAGCACTTACATATGAGTGAGGTCTTGAGAAATCACTGGCTTGGACATATTAATGATATCAGCAAAGAGAGGGGGGCCTCTGAGTGCAGGAGTGACCATTTCCATCGTTGCTAGTTTTAATGAAAATTATTTTTTTAAGGCTTATGTTCATCCTTTTTTTTTTTTTTTTGTTTAAAAAGTGAAAATGGGGAAACAAAAAAGATTTTTTGAAAAATGGAAATTTATAGTTTTGACCAGCAACAGAATGTGTAATAAGGTTTTGCTTTGGTGTGGTTTTATTTATGTATTTAAGTGCAAATTCTCAGCTTTTGGAATGATGAGAAATCGGAGAGGGAAAAGGAGAATCTTTCATACTTTTAGACCAGCAACACGAATGCAGAATTGGATGCTTTGCTGGGCTTCTAGCTGTGTTTTAAGTAAAGAGAATTTGCCTAGTTTTTCAGGCTGAGTGAAGTTGGGAACAATTTGCTGTATGATACGGAATACAGTGAATCAGCATTCGCGATGGCAGCTATTTATAGTTACTCTATTTTTATTCAAAGCAAAACAATAGCACTGAATTTCAGGCAGTTGGACCAGGCACTCAGGAAGGTCTCTCTGGAAGCTGAGGGGGGAAAAAAAAATCTCATCTTGCTGGATCTTGAGGGCTGAGCTCGTGAGCTCCGCCAGCATCTCCATTTCAGTGCCGTCCTCCGAAGGTGAAATCCAGGGCTGTGCTGGGGAGCTGCAGGAGCAGATGCCTCTGTAATGTGATTTTTTAAATCCCCTATTCAGGGGCTATGGGCATTGCTTGTATTTTTTTATTTGAAGAGCTGAGCAGTGTAATTAATTGCTGTTAATTTTACCCGTCTCTTCCAGGTTTTCTGTGAGTGTTCCATGTCCTGCTGCTGCTGCTGCCAACGTGGATGCGAATGCCGTGGCTACAAAGGCTCCTCACTGTCTCATGCCGGGTCCCTCAAATCCAAGAGCTACTTGGCAGTTTCCAAGGCAACCACCTGTGGAATAATTAAAAAGGATGGAAGTGTTAGCGTGCCAGATATAAGGAATTCTTGCCTGGAGAGAGCGTTTCACTTTCTTCCGTCATGAAGAATCAAACATGCTTCTGCCAGCAAAGTTAAGGTAGTACAATTAAAAAAAAGTAATGGTTTATTTTCTGGAAGTTTTGAGGTGGAGCAACAAGCCTGATACGACTGTCTGCTATACAGGAATGACCGTGGTTCCTTCTGGGTTAATATTTTGGGTAGATTTAAATGGAAAATGCACGGGAATGGTGATGATGGAAAGGCAGTGTGGGTGATCAGTATTTTGTATTAGTAAAACAGTTGCATGGATTGTTTTGCACTTTGTGCCGTCTTCCCTTGGATGATTTTAAGCTGGGAAGGACTAAAATGGAGCATACATTAGTTGGAGCATAAATATAGGAAGTGCAGCCTTCATGCCAAGTACACTGAGATTTCTTTGGCATTCAGTGAAGTGATAGTTATAAAAGGAATCTAGGAGTGGGCTCACTGCAAAATGACAGTCGGAATCAAGGGCTGATCTTTATCCCAGAGCTTAAAGGGTGGGCAGTGACTAAGTCCATGCTGAACCAAACTGATAATCAGGTTTAGCTGCTTCAGTGAAGCAGCAGCTCAAAGCATTTTGAAGTCACATATTCCCAGATTCAGAGCTGAAATTGCACGGTGGGAAAAAACAAATATTAAGCAAAAGAAGGCTGTTAGAATAACAAAAAATGGCAATTTCAGTTCTGAAAGTTTGAAACATTGCTTCAGAAGTTGGCAAAGGTGTTAGACTTCAGATAACTTGGAAAGTTCTTCTCCAAGTATTGTATGTTACTGGATGTATTTGCTCATTATATCTTCCTTCTCTGCCAGTCATTCAAATATAGTTGAATAGAAAAATATTACTCATTTCTGACAATGGAGTTAAATGGAGAAAAACCACATTCCCATTCTTCCCATAGTCCAAATAACTGCTCAGTTAAGTCTGGTTACCTTGCCTGATGCTCTTGTACAGTTAATTTTAGGCGTGATGCTTTTGTGTAATTTATTTCAAGAAAAAAGAAAGAGTCCTAAATTTTGAAGTAGAAATATTTGGGATGCCATCTGGGCTTTACATAATAAATTTTTCCTGCCAAAATGTTTGTGGGATTCTGTTGGGATGTGGATGGGATTTCACATTCCATCCCTTCCACAGCACAAGAAGATCATTGTTTTTTAGATATGGTGGGTCCAAGAAGAAATAAGAATTGTGTGGTGGCAGCCCTGTGATCTGAGGGAATACAAATAGAATCTATCCATTAACAACTCTCACCTTTTACAGATGTTACCTAATTTCAACAGCAAATATTTGCAGGTACTGACTCAGTAGAGTTGCAGTTTTCCACGCTAATACTTGATTTCCTGTTCATTGGTTGGTGTCACCACATCTTAAATACCAGAATGGTTTTCTTTCTGAAATAATTCTTCAGTCTGTTAATTCCTGTCAGTATGGAGCTGAGGAAAATGGGTTTTTCAGGCAAGTGCTGTTTTCATATGTGGAAGGAGTGTGCTGGCAGTGTCTGCACCAAGCACAGTGAGGAGGATACAGAATTGAGACACTGCAAATAAAGTGAAGGTGCTTGGTGTGTGTGGATCCAGATCCTTGATCTTCCCAAGCAGCATAAACAACTCTCAAAGATGGAATTGGGTACTTGTGAAAGAGCACGAGTGTATTTGTGGAAGCCTAATGTAGTAGCAGCCAGGTACAGTAATGTAGGATTCCCAGCAGTGTACACAGAGGAGTTCCAGCTCCTACAAAACATCCCAAACACATACAAATATCTCCATTTTTCTGTCTTACCTCAAATGCTGTGGGTGAGGTTTTTCTCATGAAGTTTAAATGTCCAGATGCTGCTGAAGCCAGAGGTGAACAGCAGGTAGGATGAGCAGCTTCCTGACAGTTCCTATTCCAGACCCCCTTGGAGGGGATGACTTGTCTCTAAAAAGGTGCCTGTAGGAAGGAATCCATCTTTTCCATGGATGATTGAGCCTGGACAGCTGATTCAGCCCAGATGGCAAACCTTCCAGGAACTTCAAGTGTGCAATTAGATACATTTGTGTATAAAATTAATTCTGCTATGCTTGTTGCTCCATATTCCATTCCTATTCCAGAGCTTCCAGAGCTAATTGGAGTTGCACTTGTTTACTGGTACAACCCCCTTACTCATCCTCCTCTTCCCAGCTTGGACATTTGACCCTGTCAGTTTTCCCAGCCTTCATCTGCAAGGCTCTGGTTCAGTATCAAGGCTAGTGAAGAGCCCAGTGGAGTTTGTTAGCATAGTTTGTAAGAGAAATAAAAACATCTGCGCTAAATATAGGCAGCTGTGCTGTGTGAAAGAAAATACAGGGACCAGGAAAAATTGATTTCTAATGTTTTTTATGTAGGTTATGTGTCAATAATCTTTATCCCTAGGAAGTTTTACAGGATTGAAGGAAGTAGATGGTTAGAGGTAGTGATTTGTTCAATAATTTTAATTTCTTCAAGTGATTCAGTACCTGTTGACATAGAAGTTGTTTCTGCATCCTTGGCTATTAAGAATGAGTACTGTATGCACCCAGAAAAGTAAATTTTTCTTTCTAATTCTCTTTTTGTGGCAGAAGATTTGTTTTGCTCCATATTGGAGTAACTTAGTAACTTTCTGAGAGGAAAAAAATGGGAAATAATAATATGTTAATTCTTTCAAAGATTATTTTGATAGAGTGGTTAGTATTTTCTTATTTTTTATACCATCAGATCAGCTGTATCAAAAGTCAGTTACAGAGTGAGTGGTAGTCTAAAAGTGTTATTAAAATACCCATTAATTTTGTTGAACGAATTAGGATTGTTTCCTGGAATAGGTGGGACTTTCATCTTGTTGCTTGGAAATCCAGGTAATTTTTCAGGTTGGGATTTTTTTCAAAGGGAATTTTTCTTTCTAGCAAGAGTGGAAATGTTGGGGAAATTCAGGGAAAGAACAATAAGTTCAAGTCACCTTTGTGGAAAAGGGAACTTAAATACTGAATGGACCCTTTTTCCTAGGCTTGATTTTCCTTTGAGAAGGAGGGAACTCACTTTGGTGGATGGATATTTTATGGGGAGCAAAGCTGCACTGCAACTTTAATACATGCAGAATTATCTACAAGGTGACAGACTTTATGCTTAGGCACCAGATCCCTTTCACCCCTCCAGCTGCTCATGCTGGGCATTTTGGATATGCTTTTCCAGCATAATTCAGATGATTTTCCCAGATAGACAACACAGAAAGTGCAGAATAGAATGAAAAGGTCTGACAACTTGCAGAGAGGTAGTGAAGGTAAGAGGAGAAAAGCAGCTCTTGGTCGTTTACTGACGTGGAGCAGGGATTTGTCTCCAGCAGTGGCCACAGGTGGGTTATTGAGGAGCACAGCCACAGAGTGAGTGGGATCCTCCTTCTGCACACCCTTCACTGTCCAGAAATCTGTAGTACATGGGCTGACTGAGCTGGATGGTTTTATTTTTTGGCATTTTTTACTGGACTTTTCTTTTGGAATTTGTTAGTGAGACGTACTGGGAAGTGTAAAGCTCTGTGGTTCCCCAGCTTAACTAACATCAGCCTGTTCAGTGAGGAACCATATTCTTCTGTTAACTTTTGGGCCTGAACTCCATTTAAAATCCACTTCTTGCACTGGAAAAGACGTAAGTAATTCATACATAACTATTTCCATTATGACCATAATTTTCTAGAGCTCAGCCTGCTGCAAGTGTTGAGTCAGTTCAAAGCCTGCTGACCTGTAAAGGGAGCAGGGCCACTTGCCCCACCTCCAGTCATCCTACTTCACACTTAATTTCATTGAGATTCCTCATTAATTTCACTCCCGAATTTCATTTGTGTATTTTAATGTCCAGTGAGTAATCTGCACGCATTTCTTTTTGTTTTTTCTTACTTATTTACTGCCTTTGCTGCTGTGAATAACTTTACTATCATCAGCAGATGTCATCTCACTGTAGAGCCCTTTTCATGTCATTTATGAATTCATTGAACAGTGCTGGGAACAGATCCCAGCTCAGATCCCTGTGGAAAGAAGAGCTGAAATGGCACCAAGTCCTGCCAAAAGCAGAGTGGGTTTGCCCACTTCTGCACGTGGCACAGCTGAATTTGTGGTAAAATCACTGTGCTGTTTTGGTACACTTGTAAATGTGGAGTCACTGTAAAATACTTTGTAGGAATGAATAATAATATGTAAGATAATGTCATTTTTAATCACAGAATCATTAAGGTTGGAAAAGACCTCTATGATCACCAAGTTCTACCCTCAACCACCACTGTATTCACCCCTAAACCATATCCTCAAGTGCCATACCCACAGAATTTTTGACTCCACAGCTTCCCTGGGCAGAGTATTCCAATGCTGCCTGTTTGGAATTTCACCTTGGAAAGACAGAATGGGCAAGGGATTCACCTTTTTGGCTGACTGAGGATGATGTTTAATGTTTAAAAGGTCCACACCTGCTTTGTTCACAGCATTTTTCATCTCAAAACCAACTTGGTTGTAACCTGTTAGTTTGTCACTCTCTACATTGTCAGTAAATAGAAAACTACATTGAATAAGGGAAATTAGGCAACAGAATCAATCTCCACAATCATAAATACACACTTGTTTTAGTTGATTAAGTGTAGGAAATTTTCTGAGCAGTAGAACTGTTACTTGCTCTTGTTTTCCAACATTAACTTAGCAAACATCTGATGTAAAACTGGGCCAAATCTAAAGAACCTGAGGCATAAAATAATTTTTCCAGAGATGTCCAATAACTTTTCCTGCAGCTGCAGCTTAGAGAAGTGGAGAGTTGAGGACATGAATGTGCTGCACATGTCCCAGTGTCCCACTGCTGCTTCCTCTTACCACTCTGTTCCTCCCTAATTACTCCTGAAATTCTGTTTGCTTTTTCACTGCTCCTCTTATCAACCCCTGTGAGAACTTTATTTTCACAAAGCTATCTGCAGTAAATTCAAGGTCTCTCCTAATCAGGAAAAAAACTAATTTAGAGCCCCTCATTTTCAGTGTGCAGTTGGCTGCTTTTTTTCTATATACAGGGCCTTGGAATTTATCTACTTGAATTTC